ACGATTGTATCTTATGGGGTCATCGTGTAATAGTTCCAACAAAACTTAGGAATCAAGTTTTACAAGAGTTCCACAAATCTCATTTAGGAATGGTGAAAACAAAAATGTTAGCACGCTCATACGTATGGTGGCCAAATATGGATTTAGAAATTGAAAATTTAATAAGAGAATGTATCGCATGTCAGGAATCACAACCAAGTCCAGAAAAGTCTACTTTGATACCGTGGAAATCAAATGGTCAGGTATGGAGTAGAATACACGTAGATTTTGCAGGACCAATAAATAATTTTTATTTATTGATATGTGTAGATTCTTTCTCTAAATGGGTAGAAGTTTTTAAAACAAAGGAAATTACGTCATCGTTTACAATAAAAACCTTAAGAGAATTATTTTGTAGATATGGTCTAGTTGATGTATTAGTGTCTGATAATGGTAGACAATTTACTTCAGAGGAATTTCGAATTTTCATGGCCAACAATGGCAGAAAGCATGTTTTGACAGCTCCTGGTCATCCAGCGACAAATGGCCAAGCTGAAAACTTTGTAAAGACTGTAAAAAAATCAATAAATGCAAGCATTAAAGTTAACAGCAATTCTAGTTTTGACATAATCCTGAATAGATTTTTAATAGATTACAGAAACACGATTCATTGCACGACCGGCGAATCGCCAGCCAAACTTTTCTTTGGTAGACAACTAAAGACCAGATTTTCGTTTTTAAAACCTCCAATTGTACATGATCAAATAAGCAAAAAGCAGGAGGATAGTGTCATGAGTTACAGAGGTAATCGCGACATAAGATTTAAAGAAGGTCAAAAGGTTATGGTCAGGGACTATAAAAATCCTAACAAGGCAAGTTGGACTCAAGCAACAGTTAGCCAACAATTGGGACCTCGATCTTATTGTTGTATCTTAACTCATAACAATCGTGAAATAAAACGACATTTAAATCAAATTAGAAATCAAGAAAGCAAACACATTGCAACAGAAAAACGAGATAATCAAATCGAAAGTGATTGTTCAAGTGAAACTAAAAGTCAAAATGACACTGTAATTCCTTCTGAACCAACACCAACCAGAAGACAGCTAAGACCACGTATAGAGGGAAAGGTTGTTAAGCCTTCCACTTAAAAATTAAAAATAGAAAATGAAACTTATGAATCAAATATTTGCAATTAAGAAAACAAAATGAAATGTATTAAGTTGAATTTAGACCTGAATTTATGATGAAATCTCTATTGAACTCCATGAATAATTGTTTTGTTAATTGTTAAATATCTCATAATGTTAAACATGTATCAATGCAAATGTATATATTTTATTGAGTGTTATGACAAAGCTAAGGAGAGGCATGTTAGGTATTCGATACCTTGTTAAGTATTATTTAAAAAGTGTCACCTGGTCACATTGATCTTGTGCCCTTTAGCTACACATTTTGAATTGTAACACATTCTGGAAATATACGCGGCCTGATACACAACAATTTTAAACATATGTACAGAGTATTTCAAAGTCGGGACACCCGACTTTACCTTTTTTACTTGTTTTAAATTCACATTTGTACATACCTACACATTTATTGGTTTCCGTAATCAAAATCTACATACATATACTTATATCGAAACCGAAACAGACTTGAAAGTAGTAACACGCTAACCATGGTTTTAATAAAACTTTCCACGTGTCCTACAATTAAGAAATTACAATAAGGCGACAGACCACATCCCGTCGTCCCCCTTTCTCTACGCCCTTGCGTGCAAGCGCAGTACGTGTGTGCATATGTGTGTGATTTGGTATGAATTTATTATGTGACGGAAGTGAGGCTTATAGTCACCCGTCTGACAACTGAAAAATGGGAGCAAAGAGGTTTGCAGAAATTTTGTTTGCACCTCATTATAATCGGGAGGCCTCGAAACTGCTAATTAGCAGTGCGCTTTCTGAGGGCAACACCTTTGTGCTTTTTTGACAGCTTAACTTCACAACAAACATGTCCGAAAAGTTTTTAACACACAGACAGTCTCACTCCTCTTTAAACCAACCTCTGCCCGACGTCAAAACATATACATATGTATTGGAAATCTGCATGTCTGCATTTGTTTGCAATGTGAAATTGTATTAACATGTTATTCATTTTCGTTATGGGCAACTAAATGAAGAGTTCATTGGATAAGAAGATTGTCACCACGGTGACAAACACACAATTTTTTGCGTCAGAGTTAAAAAAATGGAATGTTAGAACCGATACCTAATTCCACAAAAGAGAACCATATTTATCTTTAATTTTAATAGCTTGAATTAACATCGGGATTTTGTTGTGTGTTTTGTGTAACACTATTTGAAACCTTTTTACACGACCTTTTTACACGCCTTTTTTTTTAAAACCAATCTACCGTGTAAAAACAGAATTAGGTGTATGTACGTTAGACGCATGCTTACTTGCATTAAAATTTGTTTAATATCTATTTCTTTAATGCTGCCTGAGTAAAATTTGATATGCAACAAGTAAAAAAGCTAAAGTCGGGTGTCCCGACTTTGAAATACTCTGTACATATGTTTACTAATTTAAAAAATTTACTAGAAAAAACAAGATAGAACGCTACAGTCGAGCAAGCCCGACAGTAAAATAGCCTGTACTCTCCACAAAAAGGAAAAATTAAAAAAAAAAAAATTAAAAAAAATTAAATTATTAAAAAAAATGAATGAATGAATTAATTAAAATAATTAATTAAATTAAATTAGAATACATGTTTATGTTCAGTTTAAACAGCATACATTTACATCACGTACCTATGCGTGTTTATATGCGTGTATGTATGCAGCACAAAGTTGAACAAAAGCAGCAACAACAACAGCTGCGGGCAGCGCTGCCGACAGAGCTGCAGGCAGCGCATGAGCAGCGATTTTACTTATGGCTATAACTTTCTTCAGAATTGACCTATCATGATGAAATTTGGCACACGGACACATTAGTTCTAGCTGGATGTACCTACAAAATTTTAAAATTCCGAGAATTACGGAAGTTATAAGAAAAAATACGAATTGCGGGGGAGTGGGAGGGTGTATCAGAAAAAATAAACAAACTCGTTCTGCCTAGGGCTTATAGGAACCTTGATACCAATTTTGGTTATCTTACCTCTTGTACTTACTGAGATCCTTGCGCTCATACAGACAGACGGACATGGCTATATCGACTCGTCTTCTCATCCTGATCAAGAATATATATACTTTGTGGGGTCTGCCACGCCTCCTTCTGTGTGTTATACATGCGCACAAAACTAGTATAGCCTTTCACCCTTTGGGTACAGGCTATAAAAAAAAGAAAATTTAAAAAAAATTTGATTGATTTTACCTTTCTCGGTATTCGAACACACGTAAAGGGTGTATAATTGCACATTTACATAGCAATTGTGTCTGTGTGAGTGTATGTATGCCTATGCGCATCTATTCGTGTCTGTGTAAGCATTTTCGCAGTCAACCAAACAGCAACATCAACAACAGCCGCGGGCAGCGCTTGAGCAGCGCTGCAGCAGCAAATATATTTATGGCTATAACTTCTTGGTAAATCGGTCTATCATAGTGAAACTTGGCATACGGAAACATAATTACTAATTGGGGGTATTTGCAAAATTTTATTTCGAAATTCTAAGAATTACGGGAGTTAGAGAAAATCGCATTTGCGGTTTTAAAAACAGGGTATAAAAAGTTGGTGCGTCTTACCTAAGACTAGCAGTGTATATGTATGGCTAGGAGTTACTTTTAAATTGACTTCTCATGATGAAACTTAGCATACGGACACGTAATCACTGCAGGTATTTGCCGAATTTAAGTCAAACAAGATAGAACGCTACAGTCGAGCAAGCCCGACAGTAAAATAGCCTGTACTCTCCACAAAAAAAGAAAAATTAAAAAAAAAAAATTTAAAAAAAAAATTAAATTATTAAGAAAAATTAATGAATTAATTAATTAAATTAAATTAGAATATATGTTTATGTTTAGTTTTAACAGCATACATTTACATCACGTACCTATGCGTGTTTATATGCGTGTATGTATGCAGCACAAAGTTGAACCAAAGCAGCAAAAACAACAACAGCTGCGGGCAGCGCTGCCGACAGAGCTGCAGGCAGCGCATGAGCAGCGATTTTACTTATGGCTATAACTTTCTTCAGAATTGACCTATCATGATGAAATTTGGCACACGGACACATTAGTACTAACTGGATGTACCTACCAAAATTGATTTCAAAATTCCGAGAATTACGGAAGTTATAAGAAAAAACACGAATTGCGGGGGAGTGGGGGGGTGCATCGAAAAAAAACTCAAACTCGTACTTTCTCGGTCTTAGGAGAATATGGAAACCAAGTTTGGTTATTCTAGCTCTTATACTTTCTGAGATCCTTGCGTTCATACGGACAGACGGACAGACGGACGGACGGACAAGGCTATATCGACTCGGCTTCTCATCCTGATCAAGAATATATATACTTTGTGGGGTCTGCCACGCCTCCTTCTGTGTGTTACATACATGCGCACAAAACTAGTATAGCCTTTCACCCTTTGGGTACAGGCTATAAAAATGCAAGAATTACTAGAGCTATGGAAAATCACTAATTTCGGGGGAGGGGGGAATAAAGGAAAATTTTCTGAAATATACATTTTATCCGTATTCATCAAGGCATCCTGGAATAAAATTTGGTGTCCCTAGGTCTTATATAGAGAATTATACGAACGGAGTTGCGAAAATCGTCAATAGGGGGGAAGTGGGGGTGTATCAAAAAACAAACAAAATAGCACAGAGTAGACACATAGGGCATCTGTATAAGACATGGGATGTCTCTATCTCTTAGTCTGTGAGATCCATACGGGCAGATGGACAGACAGGGCTAGATGGATTAAATAATATATAATTTGTGGGATCTGCCACGCCTCCATCTGCCTGTTATATTTTTCACCTCCCGCAAACCTAATATACTCCCGTGCATTTCAAGTACACAGTATAATTATGGTACCAGGTAACGAATGAATTGGTTTTTTTTTATTAACCACATCCATGAATTTAAATACATTTTAAAATTTTTCATTGTTGTTTAAATATAGATATACTAAATTAAGGAAAAAATATTCCGTAGGCACTACTTATTCTTGGCTAAATACTCATACTCCGCCGACTCGATGTCACACGTAGGCTTCAGCAAATAAATTTCCAAGGCACACGAAATGACCAGGAAAATAAGATAAGCGATAAGACATATAAAACCCACCAGCTTTCCCATCGTCCACTTCGTCACCAGGAAAGAAACGAACAGTAAAATGCCAGTTATAAGAAGCATGGCCGATGTGATAGCTAGGCCTGAAGAGTTAATTTCGACCGATCTTCTCAATATTAGATGTTTTAGAAGCCATGGGAGTCCCAAGCAGATGAATATATCAAATGTATTCGATCCAACAGCATTGCATACAGCCATGGCACCATAACCTGTGTAATATAAGCGCACCAAGAATAACAACTGAATCGTGGCTAATTGATAAGTAAGGTGTTATGTGTTATTGTAATTTAGGAACTAAAACATAAACTTGCCCTTGGGACTACCTTCGATTCATGTTTGGTAAGTCTGTCTAACTTCTAAATTTTCCACGATCCTTTATTCATCAGACAGACGGACAGACCGCCATATACATTCGTTAGAGGCCTCTACTATTGATTATATCAAAAACTGGACGAAAATTAAACTAACTTGTCGAAAACTATGTGTTACTGGGGTTGCATAACACGTTTAACACGGATAGCTTGACAAAAAGTATGTAGCTATTTCACTAAAAATATAAACATAAATACAAAATTAATATGCAAATGCAGAACAACCAGATTTAGTTTCAAAGGCCGGGAGCCCTGGCGAGCCTGCTAAAAGAACATTCCCTTACCTTTCTTGGTTACAATGTAGGACGAAACCGCTTCAGGGACACTAGTGCCCGCTGCCAATATTGTCAAACCCATTATCGAATCCGGTATACCTATGTTGTAGCCGACCACAGTAAGGAACCAAGTAAGAATATATGATACAACGCTGATCCAGACTACAGATACGATCATTGTAAGAAGGTAAATGGTTCGAACGCTAGGTACTGTAAGGGCCAACACCAATAGGGATGGGTACTTAATTATCCACCACACCCAAGCACAGCAACCGCCTTCAGGTGGAGTAAGTACATGATCCTTAAAAGACTTAAGTGGTTCTTCTTCACGGTCCATGGGATTTTCGGTTATACGTTCTGCTTCATGATCCACCTCTGCAAGGAAAGAAAAATATGAACTGTTTCCTCTAACGGAAATTTGTGCGTACTGACCTCGGAAAAGACGCTGTATTTTTATATCAAATAATAGGCATATCATGTATAAGATATAGCCCACACAAAGAATAACTGACTCGTATACTGTAACTAGAGAGTCCAAAAGCACAACACACAACACTACAATAGATATCAAATACCACGCAATGTCGCGAGTTATCGGCCACCAATCTAGCTTGCTTGTCTGAAAAGTAACGTAAATTTATTTGCATTTTTATGACACAAAACAGCACTATTGTTTTCTACATACGACTCCTGTGCATAATCCGCAAACGGCACATATGGCCAGGATATTAAATACTGAGGAGCCAACGATAGTTCCTACACCAATATCTCCTTCCGTTACAAAAGTGCCCACAAAATTTACAAAAAGCTCAGGAGCTGAAGTTGATGCGGCCATAAAAGTTGCTCCAGCTATATCATATGTCATTCGCAGTGCTAACGGCATATCATAAGCCGTATTGTCCATTAAAAATACCACAAATGACTTACCGTAAGATAAGCGCTCCATAGAAGTCACAAGATAATCATCACAAACAATTGCCAAAAAAATGAAGAGATATAAGCAAGTCACCCCACAAAAGACAAGGTTGAATATGGATTTTTTTCGAAATAAATTTGGAAACTCTAATATGTCTGGAACAGAACAATTCAATTCGAGGTCACTTCGCAAATCAATGCTATCTGTAAAGGAACGTTTAATTTCCATAAATCCGGTCAATCACACCTTACCAAATCCATTATCTCGAAGAAAATTTTGCAAATCTTCGTCTCTCTCTAAATACATCTTTAGTAAACGAAATAAGAAACAATGTAATAAAACTAAAAACAAACGATTTTTCTACATTAAATAAATAAGTATTGGGTATGACGTTTCTTTCGAAAGACCTGTGATAGAAAATTAAGGGATCGTAATTATACTCTGTACTTGAAATGTACAAGCTGCCGCTCAACTGAATAGGTTCAAAGAATGCTGCCTTAATTTCGTCCAATATTTCAGCTTGTACTTTTAAAATTATATGTTGTGAACCTTTATTTGTTTACATTTAATATAGCATAAACAAGAGAGAACGCTACAGTCGAGCAAGCCCGACAGTGTAATACCCTGTACCCAGGTAAACTTCCGTCACTGAGTTATATGCGCCCATAGCAGCAGCAAAAAGAGGAAGAAGAGGAGCGAACTTGTTGCTGCAATTTTGTGGGGGTTGTACAGGCGAGAATTTGTTTCGCTAATAACTTTTCTTAGAATTGACCAAATTGAATAAAATTTTAAACAACAGTAGATAATTATATATAATTATGTGTGCAAGGTTTGATTTAGGTAGCATTTGAAATGTGGACGCTATTGACGAAATTCTGTAGCGGGGGAAGGGGGGGAAATTCCAAAAAATAAAATAAACTCGTCCTTTCTCGGACATAGGAGAATCTGGGTACCAACTTTGGTTATTCCAGCTTTTATAGTTTCTGAGATCCTTGCGTTCATCCAGACGGACGGACGGACGGACGGACATGTCTAGATCGATTTATCTCGTCATGCTGAATGAGAATATACATACTTTATGGGGTCGGAGATGCTTGCTTCTGTATGTTACATACTTTGCACAAACCTAATATACCCTTTTTACCCTACGGGTACAGGGTATAAAAAGTAAAGGGATTTTTCAAACGGTAGTTGAGGAAATTTTTTTTCATTTTACATTGGCTACAAACGTTGCATTTTTTTTGGCTCATCAGAATAGTTTCAATTACTTAAGTTTTACTTTGTGATCGACAGTGTGAAGTTAATGGTGACAACTTCTTATAGCCTGTACCCAAAGGGTGAAAGGCTATACTAGTTTTGTGCGAATGTATGTAACACACAGAAGGAGGCGTGGCAGACCCCACAAATTATATATATTCTTGATCAGGATGACAAGCCGAGTCGATATAGCCATGTCCGTCCGTCCGTCTGTCCGTCCGTCAGTCCGTCTGTATAAGCGTAAGTATCTCAGAAGGTACTAGAGCTAGAATAACCAAACTCGGTATCCAGATTCCCATAAGCCCTAGGCAGGTCAAGTTTATTTTTTTATTCTGATACACCCCCCACTCCCCCGCAATTCGTGTTTTCCATAACTCCCGTAGTTCTTGGAATTTCGAAAATTAGGTAGCTAGATCCCGTTAGTGATTAAGTGTCTGTATACCAAGTTTCATCATGATAGGTCAATTCTGAAGAAAGTTATAGCCATAAATAAAATCGCTGCCCATGCTCTGCTTGTAGCGCTGCCGGCAGCACTGCCCGCAGCTGTTGTTGTTGCTGCTTGGGTTCAACTTTGTGCTGCATACATACACGCATATAAACACGCAGAGACACGATTCTGATGTAAATGTATGTAGGGTTGGCAGCTCTTGAACCAGCAGATAATCATCGGACTATCGGGGTGGTCAGTCCAGGGTAGTCTAAGAAAGTATATCGTTTTAGCAGTAAGAGTTTGACTTCGGAAGCGAGCAGACGTTGTGAACAAGTTATGAATAATATTTAATTTGATTTAATTTGCACATTAATAAATATTGTACTCCATTAATTAATACGACGACGTGTGGTGTACTTATTATTAACGGACTTTCTGGAGCAGATTTTTACTCACTCGTAGGGAACTCACTAAAGATCTCTACAATTTTGGGGGCTCAACCGGGATAGAACCACCAGTGAATGTGCAAATTATAAATTAACATTAAGAAATTGTACAAATGAAGCATTTAATTTATGTGTACGTGTATGTACTTATAAGTTGTCAACCACTAAGTTTTGTGCAACATTGTGAAATTACCACGAACGACGCAACGAAGATCAGACGAAAGCAGATGCAGAGAATCAGCATTGCTAAACGCAGTAAAGAAAACGTAAAACGACGCCATTCGTTTTCGTCCAAAGTGTAGAACAAAGAAATAGCTAACGACGAAGAGCTAAAAGCAACGAGGCAAACAGTAGAAGCAGAGCAGAGAGAAATAACAATACGACGAAAATAAAGAGCAAAGAAGACAACGCTATTCATTTTCGTGCAAGGCGAACGTTAAGGAAAGGCGAAAACCGACATTATTCGTTTTCGTCCGCATTGCAAGCATGTAGAAAAGCAACAGACGACAATCAACAACAGTGGACATTCGCACGGCCACGTGCGGCTTGTATTCCCTGCAAACGACAACGACGTGAAGAAGACCAAGAGGAAGAACACACCATCTGTCTGTGTGTATTTAGCTATGATGTCTGTATACGCAAGTATTGATCATATATAAGAAATGATTGGTGCTGCAAATTAAGCAAGCTGATTCAACTTAAACTTTACTTAATGTAAATTTAATTCGCCGATTTTAAACTAAGCTAATATTGTAATATGCAACGCGACAAAATTTTAAACTTAACAGTAGCAAAGTTGAAGGAAAAATTGAAAGAGTTACAGTTGAAGCATTCAGGTGCTAAAGCAGTTTTACAGGAAAGACTATTGTCGTATTTTGGATTAGATCAAGGTGAAAACGAGGAATCTATTTATGAGGAAACGATTAACATAGCTCGGGACGAACAGACAGAATACGGGCAAGTTTTAAATTCAGTAAACGCAGCAGCAGATGATAGTTCGGTAAATATGGTGTTTCCCTTTCAGCATTTACTGGTAATGGCTCTCCGGAAGTTGATGATTGGCTGCGTGATTTTGAACTTGCAAAAGTTTGTTTATGGCAGGACATTAGTAAAAGGTGCAGCGAAATTATTTTTGAGTAGACAATCCGGTATTAATATTTGGAATTCTCTGAAGGAAGCTCTAAAACGTGAATTTAGTGAGAAATTAACAGCAAAGCAACTCCATAAGTTATTAGAAAATAGGAAGAAGAGTCATAAGGAAAGCTTAATTCAATATTTCTATAGTATGTGTACCTTGGCAAGTCAATCCCAACTAGATGAAGAAAGCATTATTGAGTATATTATTGAAGGCATTCAAGATTCCAAGCAAAACAAGAGCTGTTTATACCAAGCAAACAATTTCAAAGAGTTTCGTGAGCAACTTAAAATTTATGAAAAGATCATTTCGAATCAAGGAAGTACACTAAGGACAAAATCGAAATTTGAGAATAGTTCGATTCAAATCAAGGATAATAGGCGTTGCTTCAAATGTGGAAGTAGCAACCATATTGCAAAGGATTGCAAAGCTGTCGCATTTGAATCGTGATATGAAGTCAGTGATAGGGAGATTGGTTTAAAATTATAGCCCAGTAAAACCAGGAAGAAGCCCTGTCGAAATGAAAATAATATTGTCGGATGAAGTACCAGTCCGTCAAAGACCTAGACGTCTACCTTTTGTGGCCAATGAGAAAGTCGATAAGCAGATCAGGGATTGGTTAAAGGAGGGGATAATTCGCCATAGTGTTTCCGAATACGCGTCCCCTGTGGTACTTGTCGCCAAGAAGGATGGCTCAAAAAGACTTTGCTGCGATTATAGAAAACTTAATGAGAAGATAATTCGCGACAATTTTCCAATGGCGTTAATTGATGATGTTTTGCCAAAGCTTCAGGAAGAAAGTATTTTCACTACATTCGACTTGTCTAATGGTTTTTTTCACGTCCCAGTACATGAGGATTCTCGTAAATATCGTCACACAGAGTGGACAATATGAATTTAATTACGTACCATTTGGGATTTCTAATTCACCTCCGGTGTTTATGAGGTACATATTTGCTGTTCTAAGACCATTGATAGACGACGGTACATTGATCCTATATATGGACGATATCATTATTCCATCAAAAGATGAGCAAGAAGGACTAAGAAAGCTAGAGAAGGTATTGTGCCTCGCAGAGATTTCAGGATTGCGCATTAAATGGGAAAAATCTCAGGTGTTACAGCGCAAGGTGAATTTTTTGGGCTATATAATAGAAAATTCAACAATAAGACCATCTAAAGAGAAGACTTGGGCAGTTGAAAACTTTCCAATTCCGAGAGACCGGAAACAAGTTCAACGCTATTTGGGCCTCACATCCTATTTCCGTAGATTTGTTAGGGATTTTGCTGTCGTTGCCAGACCACTGACAAATTTGATGAAGAAGGATGTTTGTTTCAAAATGGGCGACGAAGAGTTAGCAGCGTTCAATCAGTTGAAAGTTTATTTATTCTGTTCCCCTGTTTTAAAACTGTTTGATCAGAAGGGCAATACAGAAGTTCATTGCGATGCAAGTATGTATGGGTATGGTGCCATACTCTTATAAAAGGACTCAGAAGACCAAAGTCTCCACCCGGTGCAATATATGAGTCGTAAGACAACCCCAGCTGAAGAAAAGTATCCTTCATACGAGCTTGAAGTACTCGCTATAGTGCAGGCTCTAAAGAAGTGGAGAGTTTATTTGCTTGATAGAAAGATAAAGATCGTTACTGACTGTAATGCTTTTGCGTTAACGATGAAGAAGCAAGATGTTCCAGTAAAGGTATCTCGTTGGGCCATATTTCTGCAGGACTTCGATTATGAAATTGAGCATCGTTCAGGAACAAAAATGAAACACGTCGATGCATTGAGTAGAGTGCATTGCTTATTGTTGGCAGATTCACTAAGACACCGAATAAAGCAAGCTCAGCGTCAGGATGAGTGGATAGCAGCAATTTGTAAAGTGTTAGAGTCCGGTACTTACGACGACTTTTATTTGAAGTATGAAATCTTGCACAAGGACCTAGTTAAGGAATTGATTGTAATACCAACCAGGATGGAAAACGAAATCATAATGACGAAATCATCGTCAAGGGCATTTTGGTCTTAAAAGAACCACCGATTTAGTGCAGCGAGGAAAGTAGAAAGGATTATAAGGTCTTGTGTAGAGTGCATTGTGAGCGACGCGAAATTT